ACCCCATCTCTACTAAAAAAAATAGAAAGAAATTAACTGGACAACTAATATATATATATAAAATAGCCGAGCATGGTGGCACATGCCAGTAGTCCCAGCTACTCAGGAGGCTGAGGCAGAGTCGCTTGAGCCTAGGAGTTTGAGGTTGCTGTGAGCTAGGCTGATGCCACGGCACTCTAGCCAGGCAACAGAGAGTGAGACTCTGTCTCGGAGAAAAAAAAAATATATATATATACACACACACACACACAAACACACACACACACACACACACACACATTCACTCTCTTCAGTGAACATTTCAAACAATGTATAAATTGATAGTACTGTCTGATCTATAGGAACCCTTTATAAAATGTGTATTTTTATACTGGGGTTATCTAGATTTCTTTTGGGGTTAATTCTATTGATCCTTTCCACCACCCATCTGTGACAGTGGGTTTAAGCACGGTGGATATGGAAAGAATAAAATGCATATTAGCTGACTAGCAATTCAGATCTTTAACACAAGAGGGAGGTCTGAACTGGAGACATGTATTTGTAAATCATCATTGTGGAACCATCAGTGGAAAAGCTTACTGATGGTGGAAATGAGATTTCAGAGGTCAAAAAGATTAAAAGAAGGTATGTGGAAAGGTAGAAGGCCTGCATGACAGTTTGGCTTGCTCTCTATGTGTAGATTCTGCCGTTGCTTCCCAGGTAATTTTGACATGGGACAGGAGTCAGAGGATCTAGTCATTTCAATGCCAACAACTACCTGCACACACTTAAACACCAAGATAAATAATCCGCATGGGCTGGGCGCAGTGGCTCACACCTGTAATCCTAGCACTCTTGGGAGGCCGAGGCGAGAGGATCACTTGAGGTCAGGAGTTTAAGACCAGCCTCAGCAAGAGAAATACCCATCTCTACTAAAAATAGAAAAATTAGCCAGGCGTGGTGGCGCATAGTCCCAGCTACTTGGGAGACTAAGGCAGGAGGATCCCTTGAGCCCAGGAGTATTTTTTTTTTTTTTTGAGACAGAGTCTCACTTCGTTGCCCTGGCTAGAGTGCCATGGTGTCAGCCTAGCTCACAGCAACCTCAAACTCCTGGGCTCAAGCAATCCTGCTGCCTCAGCCTCCCTAGTAGCTGGGACTACAGGCATGCGCCACCATGCCCGGCTAATTTTTTCTATATATATTAGGTGGCCAATTAATTTCTATTTATAGTAAAGACAGGGTCTCGCTCTTGCTCAGGCTGGTTTCAAACTTCTGACCTCGAGCAATTCACCCACCTCAGCCCCTCGGAGTGCTAGGATTATAGGCATGAGCCACAGTGCCCTGCCTGAGCCCAGGAGTTTGAGGTTGCTGTGAGCTAAGCTGACACCACTGCAGTCTACTCAGGGCAACAGAGTGAGACTCCATCTCAAAAAAAAAAAAAAAAAAATCAGCATGTTTGTGTGACAGGATCCTAGGTCCAAATTGAATCATTTGTATTCTCACATATTCTCCAGGGGAGAGGGGCGGCAGGGAGGGGTTGTAAAGATATCCAAACACAGGCACCAAGGAAGCTGGGGGAGGGGAAAGAGGCAAAGCTGGCATCTCAACTTCAGGAAGCACAGGACCTGGAAGAGGATTCTGGATCCAAAGATCTCAGCAGCAACCGTTAAACCATGAGTACACATAAGTAATATGTTGGTATAAAGTCTTACCACTTTTGAAAGAACTTCCTTCTAGAGTAATGAAAGTATCTTTTATTCTTTCATTTTCTTAGTAGTGTCCACTGAATATCAAAATAGGAAATTAATTAAACACTGGTCTACTAGAGGGAACTTTGTTGAATCTGTATGAAATTGGACATGTCATTAGATACCTATGGCTATGTACAAAACCAAGCTTAAATTCCATAACCTCTGCCCCACCTCATCCCTCTGTTTTATAATCAGCTTTTCCAAACTTCTTCCCTTCTACTGTAAGCCAATAAATTATAGTTCTGGAGGTCTCAAAATTAATCTTGGCTTTCTTTTCAATGACATCCTTATGCTGAATTGTATATTTACAGTTTTTTAAAAAATTTTGGTTAAAGGTTATATACACTTAATCTGGGTTGGAAAAAAAAACTAATGAACGCCAATATGGGTTTTGGCAGTATTATTACTAAGTCATGATGACATCTACCATAGTATGTATATTTGCAAGGAAACAAATTTAAAAATCAGCAATGACACTGCACTTTAATAATTACAGTAAGAATGTTTTGGTAACTTTTATTCACATAAAATTTTTAAATCATAAAGTCATTAACTATGAATTCAAACAATATAGTTTAAATATATTTTAACTTAAGGCACTACATACAAATTCCATTAAAGCACACTCACATTATTTTATTTACACACCATTTTAAAAATTGACAAAAAACAAACACTTTCCTCTCATCTTTGTGCTTCTATTTGTAAATTTATGTGTTAACAATGAAGTGTAACCCTCCAAATAAAAGGAATTAGGTGCAATCCTTAAAGCATATGAGACATAGGCAAGAGAGGGAGACACTCAAGAACAATGCAAAGGTATTTTAATCTTTTAATGTTTGCAGAACTTATGTGCAAATTCTTATACCAAGCCTAATGGAATAACAATACAAAGCCTATAGCACACAGCATTGAAATATTTGTTATTCTACTGCTGTTTACTAGAAGGGAATTGGTACATTAATAACGGCATCAGAACTGTCCCTATGTCATACATAAAAGTGCTTATTCTAAATTAACTCACGGAATTAAGAAAAAACACTCAAAATTTTTCCTATTACCGTGGAGTATTGTCATAAATATTTTAATGTTTCTTGGAGCCAAATACTTTATACCACCCAGAAATCATAGCAGCATATTATTTAATTACTTAACAAAATACACACCAAAACCACAATATAAAAGGCTAATTTTGCAAAAGATTTTCTCAGTGTTCTACAGGAGTCATTGGCTTTAACAGTGACAGTTTTCTTAAAGATACAAATGAATACAAAGTTCAACATAGTAATATATAAATTATACTTTGATTAAATAAATACCATTGTTCTTGTTCCAACAACATGTACTTTTAAAAATTTACCTATATTTAAAGTTAAAGTTAATATTTTGAGAATGGAAGGAAAGACAAGACAAATAGGTAAATGGCTTGTAGCAAGGGTTAAGTCACTGACAATCTCTCTATTTCATCCTAAAATCCGCTCATGGGCTGGATGTTATGTATACATTTCTGAAACTCATAAACACCAATTAAGCAAATGCAATCCCTAAAACTCACACCACTGCAAGGACCAAGTATAAAATATCCTAGTATTTTGGACACTTCAAAAATGTCCACTACAAAAACAACAGACTTAAATGTGTCGATTCTATTTTTTCCTTAATGAGAATTAAAGTAGAATGGAACTTTTCTATTATAGTGTTCCAATCAACTATTAACCTTTAGGATAACTATTTTATGTGAGAAAAAAAAATCAGAAATAAAAAATTTTCAAAAAGCAGTAATAGTCCTATTGGCTTTATCTCATTTATTTATTTTGCTGTTCTTAACACAGTCAACTTCTGACCAATAGCCTGGATTATTTATGCAGGATGTGGAAATCCCTCTAAAGAACCCCAAATGCACCAAATACCAGGCTCAAGAAATTAGCAGCGACTCAATATACAATCTACTTTGCCAAACAATTCAATTTCTTCATATTGATTATTAGAAGATACTACTTAGCAAAAGTAGGATGACAGTTCTTCACAACAAATGATTGGCTCTGAACAAACATGTTAAAAGACATAAGCAGAGTAATTATTTCAGTGATCCAAATACTAGAGGGAAAAAAGCAGCAGAGGCAGCACTAAGGCTATTCTGCTACTCAATGCATGAATAGTGTGAAAGATCAAAGGATACTAAATTATGTTTTATATTTCTTAACTCCTCTCTAGCCTAAAAAATAAGCCATAATGTCCCCAAAATAAATACAAAAATCTCCATTCTTCACTCTGACCCAATCAAAGTAAAATTTGTACTCAGGTCAGAAATTTTTCTTGTAGCACTTGGATACCTAAGATTATAATAAACAACATAACCAAGTTAAATGATAATAAAAATTAATGAATTTTTTAAGTTATGATTTTAACTTGTGACTCAGGAGAAAGTAAACAAATATGATGTGCAAAAAATAACCTTTCCTGAGAGCTGTGTTCTGTGGGAATGTGGAAGCTTGGCCACAGCCCACCTTTGACCTCCTTCCATAAGTCACACAATGTCTACACACCAACATGCTTGCACACCCATACACAACTAAGTCACTTACACAAAGACATTAAGCACAAATGGAAAACGCGCTTTTCTCTATTTTCTTCTAAATTTCTTATTTACGATAATCTTCAAAAGATACAACTTTTGAGACTCCGACAGCTTAAGACGTAATCAGGCTTTTATCACATGGTCTTAGTTGTTTTTTGTTTTTTAATAGCTTTCCTTAAAATAATTTCTTCATATGCTAGATCTTTTCTGCTTGGTTAATCAATTTTATTAACCATCACAGAGAATTTTCTATCTCAAGAGGTTACTTGGGATATAAACTAATTAGAGGTAAATATAAAAATATAGAAAACTTTCTCCCTGATACACAAAATTCACGAATTGCATCAAGACTTCTGATGTTTTGTTTACAAATATATAAATTTATTAGAAAAGCATGCCTATGAAATTTTGGTATATTTTCATTTAAAGATGTATCATATCTTCAGTGCAAAAAGGCAAAGGGAGTTATTTTTCTCAAAAGCTATTTCTAGTTAAAGAAATAGATGGTGTTAACTAATGATTTACTAGCAATTTTACTATGGTTAGGATTATTTGCATTAGCAAATGCAACAAAACAAAACACAAAGAAAAACAAAACAATTTTAGCATGCTTGGTCTAAGTTCTTTGTCTTTCAAAGTATCCTTTTTCATAGTTACAACACTATTCCTTGGATGAAGCTTTAGTTTTGTGATTAATCAAAGACACTTTGTATAAACACCAGCACATGTCACCCAATTAAAGGATCATCATCATCTTCTTGTAGCTGAAGTCGGGAAAATGGACGAGGTACAGATAGTCTATTCTGCATAATTATCATGAGGCATGTTAGCGTGGTTAACACCAAGAGTGCACCGATAACAATCCCAATGGCTTCAGGGAGATTTATGCACCACTGGTCAATTAACAAGCACTTCGTATGACTAAAGGTTCCATTATTGGGATGTGGTTGTAATCCCAGGATGTGGCACATCATTGGATAAATATCCACAATGTTAATTGTGCTGTGCTTGTAGCCTTTGTGAAATGCAGGTCCGTGGGCAGCTAGAAATGGATGCATACTAGGCAAAGAATTATCATAACCATGGTCGCCTACTGAAAAAGAACAAAAGGATGTTAGTAAATAGATGAGCCCTTCTATTACAAAATAACTTGCCAGTCTAATTCCCATCCATTAAGATTCTGTTTAGTTGCACCAGACAGGGGCCAGAAATAAAAATGTCTGTTTCTTCAGCTCAGCCATGTCCCCTATTTCATACACCCACATACCCTTCTCCCCAATCGGTCAAGGCCTTAAACTTTCACATTACTTCTCAACCCGATATATTTATCTTTTAGCCCTAGTCCCACTTACTGCACTTGTTGATCCCCAGCACCGTTTGCAAAAGCTACTACAAACGGCACTAGTGATAAGGAGACTGGTCAGACTGAAGGTCCTGTATAACTGGAGACAGCAGCAGTAAGAATGGGGAAAAAGCAAACCTACAGCCTTACCGATCTTAATTGCTCCTGTAATAAGAAGTAGGATGACATAATGTACCACTGGTGTGATGACAGTTAATAAACCCCCCAACATCGGGAGGGCCAGATAATTGAGAATGTTACTGAAGGGATTCTTCTATTAAATGTGAAGTCCAACCAGATGACTCTAACTTGTAACTCCAGGAAAAGTCTGACTCAAAGAAAAATGTGTGATGGTCCCTAATATAACTCCAATACCAGATTCCCCATTTTTACCTTTATTTTATCAAATACCGCCTTTTAACGTACACCAGTTGCATTTAACAAGCTCCCACTTTCATACTAAGTGTAGGTAACTGAGTGATGAGTATATTGATATTTTTATATTATTTTTAGTTGTACATTTGAAATATTTCATAATAAAAATATGACTAATATGACAAAAAGCAAAATATAACAATACATATAGATATTATGATTTCAATAATGTTAAAATATGCATTATTTATAATAGAAAAAAGGTTAGGAGGGGAAACTCTCATCATTAATATTTGTTTATATCTCTGTATTGGGGGATAGTTTTTGTTCTCTTTGCTTTTTTGTATTTTCAAAGTTTCAGTAATGAGTATATGACATAACATAAATATAAATAATTTCAAACTCCATGGACCCTGACCCTGTCTTATCCTTGCTTGATGCTTCTGTTGATAGAACGGGTATCTGTAAACTACAGCCCATGGCCAAATTCAGTCCTCTACCTGCTTTTGCAAACAGACTTTCACTGGAACACCCATTTCAATTTGTTTTCATACTGTCTGTGACCACTTTCACACTATTAATGCAGAGTTGAGTAGATGAGACACAGAACAGCTGGGCCCACAAATCCTAAAATATTTACTGTCTGGCCCTTCACAGAAAAAGTTTGCTGACCCCTGCTATAGACTACAAAATCAGATTTTTAAAAAAAATATTTAAATTGAATGTAAAAAATGGACAAATAAGCTTCAGTTTAGGTGAGATCCGTACCTCTCCCCTACACATTTTCTCAGTTTAAGGAGAGATTACGACACATCTATTTTGTTTACTTGATGGATATTTTTGTTTGTTTACTCTGTTGTTCTTGACCAGTATTCTAAATAGCTGTGGCATTCAGGTAAACTATTTTACAAATGGGGAAAGACTTAAGGTTCCTCAGACAAATTTTTTAACACACAGGAAAAGAACATTTGAACTAGCTAATCTCTCCCTTTGTACTGTTTCTTTACTTTTTTTTATTTTCTTTGTTTCTTTACATCTCTCTATTTTCTACAAATCAAGATAACCACTGTTGAAAATTACTGACAATAACTGCAGTTTTGGTAAGAAGGTGTAACTATGCCTTTACCTTAAGGTTACCTAGCCTCCTAATCTAGGGGTGAAATTGTGGTTATTGTAAATTGCTACCAAATGAAGACCTGAGAATTATCTAGTTGGAAATTTAATTATTCTGTGTAAACATCTCTAAATCAAAGTACTTTCTTAACACAACAGTATCACAGTGTGTGACTTGTCCCTAGGATACAACAGAAATATCCTAAATATATACTTACATTTTCGTGATGATTTATTCAGCACAATTGTCCAGCCTTCATCAGCAACCAGAATAATAGGCTGAATTCTGTCATTATGTTGGTAATAAAATCTGTCAGGAATGTCTTCTTTGAGATAAACATTCATGTGAGTGCTACAGTTTTTCAGTGCATTATAAACCTCTGTTCTATCTGAAAGAAAACGGAAATAGCAAAGAAAAAAAAGTTACAGGTGACTGAGAAGGAAAAAATATATCTAACTAGAATAACTGGAAATAAATTCTGGACAATGTCATCTATTAAATCACTTAATTCTTTAAAAAAAACCAGCACTAATAACATAACAACGTGGGGCACTGATACACACACCTTTCTCAAGCATTCACATACCTGTTTCATTTTGTGGATTATCCTGGTGGACTTTTATAGATAGGGGATAATTTTCATGTTTAGCTTCCTAAGTAAACATGAACTAATTACATTACTAATTATTAATTCCATGATCAGTAGAAGAAAGACATCTCACACTAAAATCCACAATGTTGAAGGATAAAAATTTCATTTTTCCATTAATGTGAATAATTAAGAAATATATCAATAAGCAAAGAAATAATCACTTTGAACCTAAATCATAAGCTAATTACCCAAAACTTGTAAACTAGGGGGAAAAAAACATATAATCCCATCTGAGTAAGTATGAGTATATGATACTGAACTATTATACAAAAAGCCAGAACTTCACTCTTTTATACAACTCTCCCTCCTCTAGCAATTGCCCCATTCAAATAGTAGTATCCCTTGGCTAAAAGTTTACTTACTTATTTTGGGAAGTATTGCAGCAACTGGGCTCAAATCTACAAGAGTGTAGCTTGAATTATCGATGCAGAGATCCAAATTTATGACTCTGTCCTGAGAACACTGGGTCATCCCATGATCACTGGTAATGATCACATTAAGATTTTCCCATAATCCTAACATCTTGAGTTTTTGGACTAAGTTACCAATAAGATCGTCTACTTCTTTCAACACTCTGCGCATGTTTTCTTTATCTTCAGGTCCGTATTTGTGGCCACTTGCATCTGGTTCTTCCCAATAGAGTGTTGCAAAGGTGACTGGTGGGCTCGAATTGTTTAGCCACATGGTAATATTGTTTAGTCTCTCCTCAAATGACACTGAGGAGCTATAATTCATAAAATAGGAAGGTACAGTATTATGAATGGGTACATCAGTACCAGGCCACATAGCAGCAGCACTTGATCTGTTTTCCTGAAGCTGATTGGTCACCCAAATAGGGACTGCCTCATTCCACCAAAAAGGATCCTTGTCATTAGAGTCGGAAAAATGTTTCTTTGTGACTACATCATACATAGAATTGGCCACAATGCCATGACTTTCTTCATATAAACCCGTCACAATACTGTAGTGGTTTGGAAATGTTTTTGTGATAAAAACATTTTTAACATTCTCTACCAAGACACCTTCTTTGATAAAATTCTGGAGATGAGGAAATTCATAGTTCTTCAGATAGTCAGCTCTGAAGCCATCAAAGGACACCAGTAATAACTTGGGTGGCAAATTATAGGAAGAGTTACCTCTACAACCCGCTATAAGTCCAGAAAACAAAAGTATTACTAAAAACTTCATAATGAACACGTTGAAGGTCAGCAATCAGGGTTCCTAAAATATAAAAACACAATTCTTAAGTAGTAATGCTATTTGATTTGGATTAAGTTTCAGAATCTTAGTCAATAGGAGAGGAGAACCAACATTTATAAAACTTTTATATGCCCAGTTTTAGCTATGTCAACTTAAAAATTAATTTCATTTATTTAAAGACAGCTAAATAAAGCTAACACTCAAAAAAATAAGAAGTACCTTTAACTTGTCTAATTTTCTATTTATATACATCCTGCCCCATCCTTCACACTCTGAAGAGCAATGGGCCCTTCTTATACTCTACATAAACACTCCTGTTTGCCTGTCTTGCTCATCTGCAGCAACAGAAATTATTTCTAAATACTTAATAAGAACAGATGAAGAAATAAAAATAATTATTTTGTACAAAATACAAATGACGGCAAGCTTTCAGAGGCTCCTGGGAAGGAGATGGATTCTATAGAAACTTCTTAAGAAATGTAACAACTGCTGAAATGAATTTCATCACCAGTTCTCTCTTTAAACTTTGTTTTTGCAGTCAAAGACACAATTGTTCTCCCTAATACCACCGGCTCAGAGCTGGCCTATTGATGACAAAAACAGGTTTGCCCTAATCAACCTCCCTGCCTTCAGTCTCTATCCTTTGTGGTCCCTAAGAAAATAGAACATGTGACTTTGGTGGAATGATTTGCTTGAGATGGGCAGAATGCCTCTTCCATTGTAATAGGAGGGAAGGAGGAAGGCTAGGTGAGCTAACAGGTTGGAGGGCTGAAGGTGAAGGGAGCTGCATTCTTTGTGTGGCTGGGGGTGGAGTCAATCGCTGAGAGGGAGTAAAGTGGTGAAAGGTTCAGAGGTTTGAGGAACACAGAGGATGTCTGAAAGGGTCAATGTAAAGAACAGGAGAAAGTATGAAGAAACAGTAGGATCGGTGGGCGATGCTCAGAGCTGTCATGAATTTTCAAAGCGACACAGTCGATTGGTTTTCCCTGGCAACTCCCTGCCCTGGCACAGGCTATAAATGAAACAGGCAGCTGATCTCACCTGGGGCCGAGATCCTGACAGAAAATGAAGGGTGACTAAGGGTGGCTAAAGAGGAGCTGAAAGGTGAGTCGTAGCATCTAAGCCGAAACTGATAGATTATATGAGGTTTTTGGACTTAGAGGTTCTTATGAAGTCAAAGAACAGGTGTTTTAACAGTAACTTTTAGAGGAAGTTGCAAAGATGTGGGGTTGTGGTCAGAATGAGAGGAGTGAATTCCTCACGTGAGAGAAGGAAAATCCACAAGGGATGGTCCTTGAGATCCCACACACAAGCAGCAGCGTGTTAACTAATGTGATTGTGAAGTTCACGAGTCGTTTATTGTGTATTCTCATTCTCTCAACTAGACTGCAAATACTTGAAGACAGAAACTTTCTTTCAAACACACCACCTAGATGCTCTGCATAGTTAAGAGTCATTCAAACACTTACTGATTAAAGTTGTGACCCCTGAAAAAACCAGTGACTTAAAATCACAAAGACACAGAATCTCATTTGTGAGAATCTCTGGGTCTGGAAAATAACTAACATTTTAACCTGAGCTGGGTGCCTGGAACATCTGTTGCTGGTGCTACTCAAGAAACCACAAACTGTGCAGAGTAACAAAATCAAACCACCAGAGTCAGGATCCTATGAGTGGCAGAAGAGGCATACAGGTACCCTGTTTCCCTGAAAATAAGACCTACCCATAAAATAAGCCCTAGCAGGATTTCTAAGCATTTGCGCAATATAAGCCCTACCCCGAAAATAAGACCTAGTGATGGGCGTGCCTACGCAGCGTATCTGCACAACCCATGCATTTCCTGGCAGAGCGGTAAAGATGATGAGTAGCCCTTCTCATCTGCCCCATCATGCCAGCTACTATCCCAGAGGTGACCGGAAAGGTGCGGGCAGCCCCACCAACAAGGTTGGCTCCCCGTCAGGTCCCGGCCATCCTGTGCGTGCTGCAAGCTGAGGCTTTGAGGGGAAAATAACACATGCCCTGAAGATAACCCCTGGGGTGTCTTCTTGAAGAAAAATAAATATAAGACCCTGTCTTATTTTCAGGGAAACACAGTACTTCCCCAGACACAGCCCCAGTCATACCTCAGCAACTTCAGCTAGCAAGAATCTAGACAGTACCACTTCTCTTTTCATTCAGTGTTTTGTGACCCCTGACATGATGTTTATAAACACCTTTAACTTCTCTCTCAGACCGTCTTAATTGGGTTTGATCAGATGAGATCATGCAGGCTGCTGCTCTAGGTTCTAGTAATTTTAGAACTCATTTAAAGGCATGCAGGTCTCCTTGAAAGCTTGGATCAAGTAGATTCCCTGGTTTTTCCCTGAGTACAGCTACTTCTCCATATCCAAATACTTGTTTCCAATAACAGAGTAGACCTAAAACAGTAAATGGGTGGCAAAGTAATTTCTCATAGAGAAAACATACTCCTAAATCTACTTTAAAAATATATTATTTACTGCCCTGGCTCCTTCCCTGGATAACCATTCTACATTCCAAGCAATTTCTCTGCCTAGTTGAAACTGATGTCAGATTGAATGCATTCTTACAGCTCCAAATCTTTCCCCTTCCTTAGTTTCCTAATCCTTTAAAACAGCTTCACCATTCTCTCAGTCACACAGAGATCTCCCAAGTACACCATCAGTGGGGGACACACTTGTCAATTCTATCTTCATATTGTCTAATACAGCACAGTAGAATCACTGACATGAGCTTGTTAAAAGTGCAGCTGTCCAGCCGCTACACCTGGGAGATTCTGATTCAGTCAGTCTAGATCAGGGGTCCTCAAACTTTTTAAACAGGGGGCCAGTTCACTGTCCCTCAGACCACTGGAGGGCCAGACTATCGTTTAAAAATAACTATGAACAAATATGCACATATCATATTTTGAAGTAAAAAAACAAACAGGCAAAAATACTCGCATGTGGCCCGCGGGCTGTAGTTTGAGTACGCATGGTCTAGATAGAGGCCAGGAACCTGTGTTTGTAACAAGAACTTGTAACAGCAACCCATGCTTTTCCATCTCCACTGCTACAGTACTGTAAGTCCTCAATACCTCCTGTCCACAGCGTTTTTGTCTTTTAATTCACCTTCCTATCTGATCACCTTCCCTTTTCTCGTCTAACATCTGCTGCCAACTTAATCTTCCCGGGCGCTGCTCTGTTCTTGACACTCCCATAATAAAAAAGAATTGTTCTAAGGATCCTCCTGCCTATATAAAAAATCCAAATAACTCAGCCTAGCTAGCATTCAAGATCTCTCCAAGATCCAGGCCAAACTTTTATGCAAATTACTGTGACATAATTACAGAGATAATTGCCAAACTTAATTTCCATTCACCACTCTTTGCTGTTACAATTTTTCTGAAATGTATTACAATGGCATGTAAAAGATAATTATCATTCACCTTGGAGACCTATTATACCTCTTCAGTAATAGTTTGTGTCTCCAGGATATCCTAAAGTTACTTCCTACACATGAAGTCTTGCTCAGCAAACACTCTTCTAGGTCTTTTAAAAAAATCATTCAACAAATATTTAATATAACTATGTCCATAAGGCAAAAAATATGTGTATGTGCCATGTATCAGGGGACAAAGGCTTTATACTTTTCATACATATAACACTTAAAACAGGAGCATGAATAACTAATAATAAATCAGGCTGTCATCCTGGAAAAACAGAGACAGGCTTTTGGACTTTCATCAACTTTGTTCTACAACACCAAAACCAAGCGTTGAAGAGTATATAGAGAAATCCAAACTTTTATAAACTGCTAGTGGGAATGTAAAATGGTGCCACCATTTTGGAGACATTCTGGCAGTTCTTCAAAAAGTTAAACAGAGTTACTGTATGACCCAGTAATTCTACTACTAGGTATATGCCCAAGGGAAATGAAAACATGTCCACATGAAAACTTGTACACAAATGTCATAGCAGCACTATTTGTAAGAGTCAAGATGTGGAAACATCTCAGATGTCCACCAACTAATATATGAATAAATAAAATGTGAAATATCCATAGAATAGAATATTATTTGGCAATAAAAAGGAATGAAGTACTTGAAATATTGCTCTAGGTGAAAGAAGACAGTCACAAAAGATCACCTATTGTTTGATCCCATTTAGATGACATGCCTAGAATAGGCAAATCTATAGAGACAAAGTATATTAGGAGTTACAAAGGACTAGGAGTTGGGGGAAAATGGATAGTAAATGTGACTGAGTATAGGTTTCTTTTTGGGGTGATGAAAATGTTTTCAAATTGATTGCAGTGATAGTTGCATAACTTCCATAAAGCTGTATACTTTAAATAAATGAATTAAATGGTATGTGAATTATATCTCAGTAAAACTATAATTTAAAAAAAAGGGAGTAAAGTGAAATTGTAATCTTAAATGCCCTGACACAAAATAGGAAGCATCTCTGATATTTCATTTTACCTCAAAAATCATGTGAATTTTGTACTTCATAATAGATTTGAGTGTTTTAATGTGAAAATGATTTATACCACTTCCCACATGCAAAACAGAACAAAAAGCTGTGTCCATTCCTCCCCACGAAATACAAATCAAAATCTTTCTTCCTCAAATGTCGGGGAAGCTCCAGGAACACATGTTATTAATACTGGGGTTCGGTAATCCCACAGCATACTGCTAAGATCCAAGTGCCCCAGTCCTTGTCCTCAGGCTTAGCAGTATGAACAAAGTGTTAGACTATAGACTCTGACAACCCAAAATATTTGCCCCAAAATAAGTGACTGGGGCAAAGATCTCAATCAATAAAGGTTTATTAAGCCAAAGTTTGAGAACGTATCCTGAAAAATCACAAACCACAGGTGCATCTGTGACCTATGCTATCTGAAGAGGAATCTGGGAACTCAGTATTTAATGGAAGAGGGCATACAGAAAGAAAAAGGAGGCAGTGGGCAGTGGAAGCAAATGGTTACATTTTTGTGAGACTTTAGGCAGTGCCTAGGAAATCTACATTTGATATAAGACAAGGAGAAGGTTAAGAGAAAAGGGTAGTAAAGGAAGAATCAATTATGCAGATGCCCCTGGGTAGGTGGAAGAATGAATGATTGATCTTATCCTGTCTTTGTTGTGTGCCTGAGAAGATAAACTTATAATCAACTTATTAGTGTGGCATCTTTGCTTTAGGAGCTATATTTAGCCCAGTCCCAAAGTTACAATTTGCATATCCTTGTTTATGAAAGGCCAGCAAAGAATTTCCTTATGAATGACCTGTGGGGGCAGTCCTTCATAGATGCCTGAGGCTTTTTGTAGCCTGAGCAATGCACTTCTGGAGTCAGACCTGGTATAAACCTGAATCTGCTTGTCATCAGCTGTACAACCTTGGACTCATCCCTTCACTTCTCTGAGCCCAACTTTCCATGGGGAGCTGCCTAATGCACAATGTTAGTAACAGCGATTCATCTAGAAGGGGGTGGGGGTGTTGGATGATTCAGCCACCAGGCTTGACCTTCCCTTTTGCATAAGGAGATGGAAGGTCCTGAGAGTTTTTTCCTTTACAACTCTGAAGTCAGAAGGATCTCAAGACCTAAGCTCACACTTAGTAGACGGACGATCTTGGGTAGATCTAATTTCTTCCAGCTTCAGTTTACAGTTGTGTAAAATGAGGATGCATAAAGCTTACAAAATGCCCTCAAAATCAGTTTCCCTTTATCCATTCTACTTACAAAGCTGTTAAGTTAGGGGAAAAGTCTGTTCTGCAACAGGCAGAATATTACTGTGAAACTATAAAATAAATCAGGAATAATGTAGTCTAATTTCCTCTCTTTACATAGGATGAAGTGGAAGTCCAGTGACTAGCTGAGGTCAGAAAGTGATTAGTAGCTTTCCCATGCTCTTACTAATTTCATGTCCTCAACAAGTTTACAAGTCTAGTAATAGCAAGTTAACAAGTCTGGTAACTATCTTCAAACTATTAACAGAACTTTCACTGACAGGACACCTTTCATTAGCAGTGCTGGATTCAAGTGTGCCACATTCTGTTTCATTCTAAAGTTGTGTGTGGGAGTGTTAAGCTATAAACAAACCACCAGTGAGTTCTCAAATAGTTTTCAATGATGAAAATCAAGTTTCAGGGAATGAAATTACTATATTACAAAACTTTGGGAGAAATTCTGCAATTTTTCACAAAAAAAAAACCACCCCAGGGAAGAAAAAAACGCAAACTGATCTGGAGTACATCCAAATATCTCAGCAGCAACTGTAAGTATGAGGTACTCAATTCAGGGAACAAAATAAATGTTGGCATGGATGCAGAGAGATAGGAACATTCATACATTGCTGGTGGGACTGCAAACTAGTACAAACTCTGTGGAAAGTAATATGGAGATACCTCAAAGAGCCACAAGTAGAACTACCATTTGATCCAGCAATCCCATTCCTGGGCATCTACCCAAAGTTAAAAAAGACATCTGCACTAGAATGTTTATAGCGGCACAACTCACAATTGCAAAGATGTGGAAACCCAAGTCTCCATCAATACATGTATGGATTAATAAAATGTGGTATATGTCACCATGGAGTTCTACTCAGCCACAAAAAACCGTGATGATCTAGCACCTCTTACACTATCCTAGATAGAGCTGGAGCCCATTCTACTAAGTGAACTATCACAAGAATGGAAAAACAAGCACCACATGTACTCACCACTGAATTGGTATTAACACTTATGTGCACATATAGTAGTAACATGCACCAGGTGTGGGGCGGGTAGAAGGGGGGAGTAGGGGATGGGTATATACATACATACATAATGGGTGTGATACACACCACCTGGGGGATGGACGCACTTGAAGCTCTGACTCTAGTTGGGCAAAGGCAATATATGTAATCTAAACATTTGCACCCCCGTAATATGCTGAAATAAAAAAAAAAATACCCTCTACTTCCTCTGGGATGACTTTATTGCCTGGATGGAATGCCTGTCTGCCAACCCTCACTGTTATTCTTAGCCCATGTGAAGCTGAGAGAGTCTAACAGTTACAGGATATGGTGAAAGATATTTGTCACCATTAGCATGTTTGTATGCTCATCTGCTCTGTAATACAATGAAACTTTTATACAGCTCTAAAATAGCTTTATTGTCTATTCATACAGATAACTTAGGCAGTTACCTTTAGATTACTGTCTGCTACTTTCCTAGTAGTCTACAAAAACAGTATTACTAAAAAACTTCCTTGGTCTTAAAATTTCTAGGATTCTAAATTATTCTATTGTCTACCACACACAAAATTTGCTAGCATCTTCAAAAGTTATAATTATCTTACTTTCTATTAATACATAGTAAAATATTCCCCCTCTATTACTCCTTGTGTTTTTATCAAATTTCTTAAGATTATATGTTTTAACTAATTTAAACACAAGAAGGTCTCAAGGAGGTGGAGGGAGGTGTGTATGAGTGCAAACACAACACGGTGTTCCTAACTTCCTTATAATGGACAGAAACAATCTCAAGGGGGAAAAAGAAGAAAACCATAATACTGAAACCAGCAGCTGATTTCCTATAGTACCTGGCAAGTCTTCAGACTTAGGTTCACCAGATCGCCTGACAATTAAGCAAAGCCCTTCAGAAGTCGGACCCGGTATAAACCTGAAATCTGCTTGTCACCAGTTGTACAATCCTGGACACGTTCCTTCACTTGTCTGAGCCTGACTTTCTTCATCCATTAACTGGGATGCTATCATCTCTTAGGGCTGCTGTGATAAGAAAAGGAAGAGTTGTTTGTAAAGTGCTTAGCACAGTATCTAGCCATATAAGACCACTTAAATGGTGTCTTTTATTGCTTGGTTCGCTTGTTTCCTAGAAAATTAGTTTTTACATATAATCATACATAATTAACATAAACTCTATTGTAATATTCAGACATACGCAGGTCAGTTGATGGCTTGGAGAGTGTTCCTTGAAAATCAAACGCCTTTCCCCCAAAGGGTCCGCACCTGACGCCTTGCCCCGCCTCCCCTCATTTTCACCCCAGGCCCACCTTCGTCCCCTTCACCCGCTACGTTGGGCCAACTTCCCTCCTTTCACCTGTGACACCACAGCTCGCCTTCCCAAACCCACAACCACCTGCTAAGTGTTCTTTCCCCTTCCCTTACCGGCCTCCGCCTCCCCCTCGGCCCACTCCCTCCCTGCCTCGCGGGTCCCTGCGCGGACGGCACGGCCAGCGCCCCCGGCGGTGTGCGTGTAGTGGGGGGAGGGGGCGGAGGGTCTCGTCCTCTATCTTCAAAGCCCCCACGGGACCGGGGAGGGGGCGGCTTTTCCCTCCAGCACGCCCGGCTCGCGAGGCTTACACTCACCCGCCGCCGTCGCCGCGACTTCTGCCCACGGCGCGGAACGCGGCGCGCGCGGAACCCGGCGCTCGTGGGTACTTGGGGGCAAGGCCGGGGGGGGGCGTTGGGGGGGGACCTGGAGGGACGGGGGCGAGGCGGAGCTCTTCCTGCGGTGCCTGCGCAGTAGCGGGCGCGCCGCGGCACACAGCCCCCGCCGCCCGGAGTCCGGCGCTGCTTGGGGGAGGGCGCGCCCCGAGTGTGCGCAACTGCTGCGCGTGCGACCGCGGTGCCGGCTCCGAGCCGGCTGGGACCAGGCGGCGGGGTGTGAGACAGGGCCTGGGATTGGGTGCCGGAGCCAGCGTTGAATGTAATGTCCTTTCTGATTGGTTACACGGGTGCCTTGGTGGGGTCGAATTGGACCTCGGGAAGAGAGAGGTTTGTTCCATTCTTCCCACCACGCCCCCTTCTTATCATCCTAGATCTGGATGCCTTTCAGGGGACCTAAAGTCTCGCCTGCCCTGGAAAGGCCCCTGGCAATTCCTAAACCGTTGGCCTAGTGCCACTCCCTAGTTAATGTGCACCTGGCTGCTTAGGTGGCCGCTGAGAGAACGACTTTGGCTGCACCAGCGTCCAGCACAAGTCTAGAGAAGCTTCAGCCGGTTCCAGTGAGTTGGGATAAATACACCTGTGTATCTACCGTAGCAGTCTGTCTATCTTATTGGATTAATGAGCACCTTTACATGCAAAATTTACAAGGTGAAAAAACAAAAACCCAGTCCCTGTGGCAGGCAATTAGTAATGGGTTACAGCTGAGAAAAGGGAACTTCTTTTGACAGATGCATATGTGGTATTGTCCTCCTGCCTTTAATTGGATGATTAGTGGTACAGTCGAATAGTCAGACAGTCGAATAATGTAACTTTTAACTTTATAGCACAAGAGAAATTGCCAAACAGAAGTAGATTTATTTGTTAACACTTGGGTTGCCTGGGCACACTTTGCAAAGAGAAGATATTATTATTTTTTCTCTCTCTCTTTGTATCTGTAGCACCAAATACACAGCCTGGCGTAGAAGTACTCATTATTGAATTTACTGGAACGTTTTAAGGTGTTGCAAGTTCGTCCCTTCCCCTGCCCACGCCACCCCGTTAAAATGCAAGCTACAGGATATATTCTTTCTTGTTCACTACTGTATCTCCGCCGAGTACTCAAAAAAGCATAATTAAAAGATTAAGAATATTAGTCACAGGTAATGCCCTTAAGTGTTAAGGATTTAATAGCTGTAAACCCAGTACCTGGATTAGTAACCTGCAGTGGACCATAGATATTAAAGTCTGTAATTGGTCCCCTTGATCTGAGCTTTGGAGTTAGCCGTTACCACAAATCTGGAAACAGTTGTAGAGACAATTTGGGGCTAGATGTATTCTGTTGATTATTAGTTTGTGCCTTGATAAATTCATTGTAAGCCTCAAGGCTGGCCTGTGCATTGGTGAATTTGGACATCTTAGATCCACAGGCTGTCAGAGCTGGTAGAGGTCATGTAGTTCAATCCCTAGAATCTACCAGACCTGAATTTGAATGCTCTACCACTCACTAGCTGAGCAGTCATGGGCCAGTGTCTCAACCTATTTGAGTGTCCATTTCCTCATCTGCAAAATGAAGGTTACATTACCAACCTCTTAGGGTTATTGGCATATGAATGAGACAAAGCAAGTAAAGTACTCAGCACAGTATCTGACACTTGGTAAGCATTAGCAATTATCATCATTATGACCAGAAAAATGTCCCCCAATTTGAACAATAGTTAGGATAAGGCCAAGTACTGGAGAAATTTGTATAATATCCAATTGAGCAGCACTTAAATTTTCTGGCATTCAGGGGATATGATTACACATAGCCTGTTTGTTTATTCACTAGGTGCTTAAAGAGCAGGCAAAGTTGACTGCCATATAGTTCAAATGTGTAGTGAAGATAGCAGCTGGGTCACCATCGGGAGAAATGGGCTCCCTTATCCACTGCTACAGCCTGTGTATAGCTGGATCAGATCAGGGAGTCCCATGCAGTCTGAGCTCCTCCTCTGTAAGATAAAATGGTCAAGAACAGAGGGTCAAAATGACACATAAGGACCTTTTGGCACCAAACTTCTGTTATCGTCCATATATTTACCATTTCAACCACAATTGAAATCTTGTTTCAAATGGGCTTAAATAATATGGATATTTATCATCCTGTGGAACAAGTTCAGAGGTAGGGCAAACTTTAGGACTGGTTGAACTAGCAACTCAACAATGTCATCATGCACTGGTTTCTTTCTAACTTTCTACTTGGCTTTTAACAGAGTTGGCTTCTGGCTCTTCAGTGGTAAAGATAACTACTAATAGCAACAGCTAATAGCAACTACTAATAGCAACGAAGCATATGATTCATTTTTCACTTCCACTGGGTGATAGAACTGACTTCCAGGTTTCTGCTCTCTCTTCTCTCTCTCAGAAGCCTCCAGCAACCATCTTCTTCAATCACTTTGGCCAGAATTATGTCACATGCCCAAATCTAAACCAGCAAATAATATGGTATTACCAGTAGAACAATTCAGTCCCCAACTTCAGCTGAGGTCTCTCCCAAACTGCACTTTCTTTTGCATTGGGAGTGAGGTGGAATGGGTGATGGGAAGCCCACCACAAAGTCTACTATAGTTTCATTCTAGGAAATTAATGATAATAAAACATAATAGTGACAAATTCTTTATTTCCAATGTGATTTTTTTTGTTATAAATATTATTTTATTTATGTAGATAAGACAATAACATTCATTCCCAATGTTCTTTCAGCTCAGCTTCAAAAGGGGAATTTTATATAAATCTTAGAAATATGAAGAGCCTTTAAACCCATTTTGTGTTAGGGACTAAAATGAAGTAGACACAATAGTTTAAACCAGTTATTTACAAATGAAGAAGTGATGGAGACCCTAAATACCCTGACTTAATCATTGCACATTCTATGTGTGTGACATAATATCACATGTGCCTCACACGTATGTACAAATATTATGTATCAATAAAAAATCAATTCACAAAAACTGACTATAACTAGAGTCTTTTTCTCCATAGGCAATGTCACATTTAGAAGCAGCATGTCAGAGGTGGTTTGTTTTTCTCCCATGAACTAGACGCAAGATTTAGCAGTTACTCATTAACACGATGTATTTTACAAAATCTTATCCTATTTTCAAAATTAAAGGCATAGCTCTTTATGCAATTGTTTCTCTTTTAAACTCCTAATTGTGATGCATAATTTATCACTGACAGGAGTAGGTCAGAAGTTAGAAGTTACAGGAAAAAGGTTTCAGAGCAAAAGCCACACCCTGCCCAAAGACAAACAATTCCTGTCCATTATTCATCTTTAATCAAACAACAACACAACTGAAACTAGGGAATCAAATTTCAAATCACTAGTATTTTAAGGTTCATTTTTAAATATATATTAGATGTTAAAGGAAACATACTACAAGTTTTATCTTAAATATAGAAGGGAGAAGGACCTTATGAACCATAGCACTTTAGTGATTTTGAAAGCTTATTTAACTAAAGCTCTCCACCTACTCCATTTTCAGCAAGATTACATTTGAATAATCTCAGTCAAGATTGTAAACTATTTTTAAATACTCCTTTTTAAGAATGATCTTGTATGATCCACCATGAACTATGTAGTCTTAGAATCTTCTCTCTAAAAGAATTTTGTTCAAATATTTAATAAAGTTGTGAAAGAAGCAGTATAAATTCTTTTGACGCTTCCCTATGTGGAAGGCAATGTACTCAGTTTTTCCAAAGATACAAAAATAAATAAGATTCATTTCCTGTCCTCAAGATGCCTCTAATCTAAAAGGGTGAAAGGAGAAGACATTACTCTGTTGCTTTTGTCTGCCCAGAATTCATTCCTCCTTCTCCTGATGATTCCTTTTGGAAAGCACCCCAAAGTTGGTTTTCTGTGGGAGTCATAGGGGCTGACCATAACTTCTCTCATCTGCAGGGTGGACTCTCAAGGTGACCAACTGTCTTGGTTTGCCCTGAGCCGAGGGGTTTCCTGGGGCATGAAACTTGTAAGCTAAAACAGACAAGTAACAAGCAAATGGGGTTGAGTTGGTCACCCTACTCCTACCCAAGCCTTGGCCTATGAGAGCTAATTCTACTCCACTGACCACAGGAATTGGTTCAGTGATGGTGACACGCCCCAGGCCAGGCCAAAAAAGACTCAATACTGAAACTTTTGTTGAAACAATTGAGAAAGAGTCAGTGTTTCAACAGCAATTGCTAAATAAGCGGAATACAAGGCAGGAGCTGCTGGTGGTCATCGCCGCCGCTATAAAGGGCAAGTCTGCCCGGGCATGAAGCCAGCACAGGAGAAAGCAGAGCCAAGAGTTGGAGCCTGACACCTGAGGACGTGGAGCATTTGATCCAAGTTTCCCTGAAGCTCCATCCCTGAGCTTGTCAGTTTCCATGACTCAGTACATTCTCTTTTTGCTTCAGCTCGTTTTAGTTGAGCTCCTACCACTTACATCTAAAAAGAGAGTAAGCAGAGTGACCAGGTGTTTACAGAACACTGTCAAGTCAGTACTATAAGAGAGACCCAAAAGAGGAAGAGGTTAAATCACACAGAAGTGTTTCTAAGTTGATCATTCTACAGCTTTTCTTCCAAGGATAATCATATCTCTCTTAAACTATAGGACTAAAAATATATATATATAGCAATAAACATTCTTCCTAATGGTGCGATTAAAGGAATTCTCTTTATCTATAAATCCCCTCTTAGGTCCTACTTGAAATCTCAGAAATTAGGATATTAAAAGAGCTGTACATTTAGATTGGGTTGAGACCAGATATATTAGGTAACTAACATATTTGCATGCATTAGTTTACTGTTTCCCAAACTTGCTGAATCACAGAATTACCTGTGGCTTTTGTTAAAAACGTCC